GAGAATGGTCAGTGAAGATGAAAGGGAGGGTATATAAAGCATGTGTGAGAGCAGCGATGATATATGGTGGTGAAACTTGGGTGTTGAGGAGAGAGGAGGAAAGTGTACTGCAGAGGGCTGAAAGAGCTATGGTGAGGATGATGTGTGGGGTTAAAGTGAAGGATAGGAGGAGTAGTACAGAGCTGATGTCAATGATGGGACTGAATGAGGACATTGTGACATTGATAAGGAGATCGAGATTGCGGTGGTATGGACATGTGTTGAGAAGGGATGAAAGGGTCGGGATTAAGCGAGCGTTGGAGTTCGAGGTTGAAGGAGTGGTAGGAAGGGGTCGTCCGCGATTGGGATGGAGAGAGCAGGTGGAGAAGGACAGGGTGAAAGCGGGGTTGCGTGATACTGAGGCGAGTGACAGATGTGGATGGAGTCGAGGGGTATTTCGGTTTCATCATAGGTAGCCAAGCGGCAACCCCCGATCTCGGGGAAAATGCCGTCTAAACGTGTGTTTGTTTGTTTGTTGTCATCATTATTCAAGAAAAAATAGATCGGAAAGTTGATGAGTTTGTTGCTGTCATCGTCATCACTGATGTCATTTTCATCACCGTTGTTGTCATGGCAGTTACACTAACTATGTTTATTGTTGTTTTTGCCACCACTATACTATCTCTACATCATTGTTAAGACCACCACCTCCTTCTTCTTTCTCGTGCCTTATCCTTTCAGGACATTGGCGACCATCGACCTCCACAAAACCGGATCTTAAGAACTTCGTAGTAGATTTGAAATGTGGTGATATTCAACAAGTGACACAAGGACTTCACGAATGTTATTCGTTGTTCACCGCGATCTTTCCAGTTAAGACCACCACCATTTCTTACGTCTGCCTTTTTGCATTTGCATTCTATTAAATTATTCAAGAAAACATTTAACTTATTGATTTTAAAATCGTCTAAATAAAAATTTATAGCTTTCAATTTTTACTGGAATCATCAATTCAATACAAACAAACACGTACACACACACACATACAAATTCTCTCACACATGCATATACAGACATATACAACCAAGTCACGCATACGCACGCACTGAAGCACATACAAATACAGAAACGCATACATTAAAATTATAAACTTCTGCAAATAAATTGCCACCAAGCTGGTTGATTCCGCTTTGGACCAAACACGATAAATTGTGATTTTTTAGCCAACATAAACCACACATTCTACACAAACAGATAAACATATTTTTGCATATTTGTATGTTGTATGTTATATTTTTTTTTTTGACATTTTTTATTTCATCAAATCAAAACAAAGAAATCAAAGAAATGATATCAATGAAAAGAAATGATCTGGAAATCGAAAGGAAAATATGGTTTTCTTGTAATGATCGCGAGTGACAATTGTAAAAAAGAGAACATATTTAAAATATTTTAGTGCATGTAAACTCACATTCATATTACAAATCCTAAAAAACCAAAAATGGAATCAAAATTATTAAGCAATCAACTCTTTTACATTTTCATCAGAATGTCGTTTGTAATTATTGAAACACAGATATATATATAGACCCACGTAAAACATACTTATTCACACACACACATATATATATACATACACAAACACACACACACACACACACACATATATACACACACGTACACACACATACGTACATGAGCCCACACAAAAAATTTAGGGGGTTTATATATATATATATATATACACACATATATATATATATATATATATATATATATATATATATATATATATATATGTATGCATGCATGTATGCATGTATGTATTTATGGAGCAAATTAAATTTCGTTTCGTTTCGTTTCGTATGTATGTATGTATATATATATGTATGTATGTATGTATGTATGTATGTATGTATGTATGTATGTATGTATGTATGTATGAACCCGTTTTGATGAACAAGCCATGGTTAGGCATGCAATCGTTTCCGAGTTCAACTTTTATCTATGTCCCTGGTCTCGCACTGTCAGGTATCTAGCAGCTCCATCCAGAATGCAAAAGGAATTAAATTTTTGTAATAAAAGTGAAAGAGTTTGTTTTAAATAATTGCCTTCGTTAGGATCACCCGTTATATTAACTATTTTTCTTGTTAATTCGTTAATAAATAATGATGTGTGCTTATCTGTTGGTCCGAACGTTTCAATGCAAATGGGTTGAAATATTTTGCTTAAATTGTTTAATGAAACGTATTTTTCATTTTTGAAATCGGACGCTTTAAGGGCAGCAGTGCCCGCCTCAACTGAAGTGTAGCCGATATATCGGTCAGCCATGGTGTGGGGTAAGGTAACGTCCCAAGCCAGGGACCGTCCCTGAGCCCATGGGGTGATAGTGTAACCATCAGGCCTAAAGGCTCCTTCCTCTATCAAACCCATGGGTTCTTTTATAACCGGGATACCAGCCTTTTGAAAACATTGTACCAGGTATTCGTTGACAGCCGTATGTCTGGCTTGTCTTCCAGGACCCAGACGACAAGAAAGGCTATGGTATCCAAGTTCATCAACCCTTGCCCCACATGCGCATTCGTATTCGGTGACGATCTGGGCTCCGAGTCTCAAACCAAGGCTCACGCGAACACAGGAGTCATCCAATCTAGTGCCGCAGGAGGTGTTGGGTAGCGCTCTCAACCAGGCGGAGCCCAACTCACTTTTGACAGCCATAATTCTAGCCTTGTCAAAAGCAGAGTCATTCAGTTGCAGCCATCGATCAACTGATCTATTAAGACAGGGGGCGATCCAGTGTTTTTGCGAGGGGTTTTGGAGCGCAACCACATCTCCGTTGGTGGCGCGCCACATGTCGTATACTTGCATTCTGAAGTTATCGACATAAATCCCATCCCTCGGCAACATCAGATCCTGGAGGGCCACCGTGGCAGCAGCAGAAGCCAAAAAGGCAGAAGGTGCCAGCTCAGCCGCGGAACCCAAACCCAGGCCACCAACACATATAGGCAGCGTCCCCTGCAACCAATTTTTTTGATCGAGTTTTATGTTGAAGATGGACTGGAATGCGTCACGGAGGTGATCGTCAAAACTATTGAGGATCGAAACATCCAACAGAGGGGATGTTCTTAAAAAATAAACAAGACGAGGCAAAAAAGCAGCTTGTAATAGAAGGACCATTGCATCATGTTTATTGATGATATTTAGCCTTTGGGTGATAAGTTTAAAATTTTCAAATTTTTTAGCTATGGATATGTTTTGGCTTTCACCAGGAAAAATTATTGAGCCTAGAAAATCGATCTCGTTTTTTTCAAGGATTTTAATTGGATGTTTAATGTTAAGTGTAATAGGTTTGTTCATATACAACTCGCATTTTTCAAAATTAAGTTTTAAACCTATGTTTTTTTCTGAATTTATAATAGTATTAAGGTCATTCAAAACGGACTCGACATCACCTCCCAATGAAATGTCGTCTAGGTAGGCAACAACAAATTTGGATTTTAGTGTTTTAATTAGTGGGTCAACAGAGAGTGCAAAAAGAAGGGGACCCAGAGGATCTCCCTGCTGAACACCTTCAGCTGACAGGATCCTAGTGTCGCCGAAGGACAGGAAAGAAGGCGAGTCATAAGCCGAATAACAAAAATTGAAAATCTCCGGCAGAATAGATTTGGCGCAGTTCAACATATGGTCGCGTCTTAGAGTATTAAAAGCGTTGGAAAAATCCAATTTGAGCAAACACTGGCCATCACGCGTGCCATCCAAAAATCGTCTCACTGCATGTACCGCTCCCTCTGCCCCACCACTGACGCCGACACCCACCTGTTGTGGCTGTAAAATTGGAACCACTCTGTCCTTGACGGCTAACATGGCGTATTTTGCGGCCAAGCGCCTCCACACACACCCGACTGCTATGGGTCTGATCCCGCCGCATTTTTTCAATAGGGCCACCAGCCTTCCGCCAAAAAAGTATGGGGCCACATCAGGTGGGCAATCACCATTTAAGATCATGTTGATAAATGCAGTGATTGAGTTGATGAGATCAATCGAATCTGTTTTTGAAGATGTGAGGTCTTTGAGATGCTCCGGCGTAAGGCCGTCACTGCCACCTGATGTTCCCTTTGGGAAAGTTTTTAAACAAACCAGTACTTGTTGAGATGTAACGCACAAGCTTGAGCTTTCTTTGGAGGGACTTTGCTGTTTGTTGTTGGGTGTGGTGTGATGTTTAGACTTTAGAGCACGTCTAGTCTCTTCAGTATCAGGTGCCACGGTGTCCGTTGATGACAGAAGCTGCATTGCATTTTTTATGTTTCCTTTTTATTGTATGTATGTATGTATGTATGTATGTATGTATGTATGTATGTATGTATGTATGTATGTATGTATGTATGTATGTATGCATGTATGCATGTATGTATGTATGTATGTATGTATTTATGTATGTATGTATGTATGTATGTATGTATGTATGTATGTATGTATGTATGTATGTATGTATGTATGTACGTATGTATGTATGTATGTATGTATAGATGTATGTATTGATATGTATAGATGTATGTATGTATGGATGGACATATGCTGTGTTTAATTTGAATAAACATTAATTACAGGAAGATTGATGCTGAGAAGTGCGGATAAAATGGACATAGAACACCGTTGTTGTTTTTTGTTGATGTTGTTGTTTTTTTAATGTTTTGTTGTTGTTAATGTTGTTGTCGTCGTAACTGTTTTTGACGTTTTTTCTGATTTTAATGTAGTATTTAATGATTTGCTGATGATTTTAGATACTGTCTAGAAAGCTGGTTATTTCAATTGTTAACGCTCTTGCGAAATCGTTTTAATACGTAATCTCAGAGAATGAGGAACAGCTTGGTACATACCCTTTGGGATGCTGTGACATTTGAACAGATAATTTCCAGATAAAAATTGTGAAAAAGATAACAATAGTCCTTATGATGACGAAATTGATGGTTAGGTTTCGGTGCTGACGTAGATGATGACGTCACGATGAGGATAATCTGAACGATGAAAGAAATGATAATAAGAAATGATGACCAAAAATGATGACGACGACGACAAGCGTTATCATTGAGCCGGTGCTTCATATTGCGTGAGTGAGTAAGGTGGAAGTGGTAGGCTATTGTGATTCATTCATACGCCGCTCTTCTCTGAAATGACGAGATTAACAATGTGAAAGAAAAAAAGATTGTTTGTAGTTGTTGTGGTTACCGCAGTGTTTACTTATGTAGTAACTGTAGTAGCTGCAGTAGCAGTCGTGCCACTATCAGTATAAGTAGTATTTGCAGGTGCTATTTGTGGTAACGGTAGAGTAGTAATTAAGTTGGCAGTAGCAATGAAATTTTATTGGTATTATTAATATTGAAAGTTTTATGAAGTTATGGAGGAAGTTGGTTATTGCATCGGCTACCATAAAAACTTCTCAAAAGTAGTGGCATTATTTGATATGCTTCTATTGGGTTTGAGATATTTGTAATTAAAAATACCAACTTTTATCATTTTTACAAAATATCCTACATTAATTTTGGATGAATAATGAACGTCTGGTTTGTTTGACCCATCCTCTTGTTGACTTTCACATAATTTGTTATTACGCTGTCAGGGTTAACAACGCAAAAACAGTTACAAATAAATATAACAGAGGCATTTTATCTTTCTTTTTTCTCTCTCTTTCTTTCTCTCTCTCTCTTTCTCTTTTTCACTCTCTCTTTCTCTCTCCCCTTCTTTTTTGTCTTTTAGTCTCCTACCATGGCAGCACTTTACTTCACGACTTAATATCGAAATAGTTAAGAAATACGCCGAAGATAAATTCTCATCAGGGATGCTAAATTTAACTCAAGCCGCACATACTTCAGTTTCTGTACGGACAGATACACACATACATACACAGCTTTACGTACATGTGTGCACATACACACATATGTGCACATACACACATACGTTCATATACACACGTACATCGTATATACAAACTTTTAAAGGCTCTTCTCAAAAGCGCTTCATAAATTTACTGTTTAGTACAGTACAAGAACATGCAGATGTGCTCATAGTTTTAAGCAAACAAAGGAAAATTCCTAATTTAAGATCATATTCAAACATATTCTCCCTGTCTGTCTCTGAAAACCATCCACACATCACATTAATTATTAATATATACACATACATTAACATAAACAATGACATTAATAAAATACACATACATTAAAAGATACACTGACATTAATATGAATTAATACATACACTAGCATCAATCCACACACAAAAATTAACTTTTACAAATATGGTGTATAGATACAATAAGTATTTATACAAAACATACTTAGACATATTTGTACAGGAGCGTTAGCACGCCTGCATGCAGATGCAAACACTTTGAAGATTTTTAAAAATGTTTGGAATTGAAATTTGTGTTTTGTCGATTGTAGCTAAATATTACTAAATATATATAAGAAGTAACTAAACATTTTATTGTGTGTTGGTTGCATATTGATTTGTTCGTTCATTCGTTCGTTCGTTTGTTTGTTCATTTGATTGATCGATTGTTTGTTTGCTACAAAACGATTAGCTTATTTATTTCTTTATTGCCGGTAGGTTTGCTTGTTCATTTTTCTTCTCTGTTTCAGAGCACTTGTTGGCTGGTTGTGAGCGGGATAGTGTGCCTACTTCTAACCGCTCGTTGAGTTTTGTTTACCTTGCACTTATATTTTTTTATTACTTCTTTTTCTTTTTCTTCTATTTTTTCTTCGGTTATTTTTTCCTAATAATCTTTTTAAAAGAAATTTTTCTCTCAAACGCTTTTGGTTATTTCAATTATTTCGGTAAGTTTTATTGCATTTCGTTGTAATATAGCCTACATTCACATGAATGGTTCGTTTTAATGTAAGTCCTACTTATCATGGCTCAATTATGTACTTATTTGTTGTGATTTGCGTGTGTATGTGTGTATGTGTCTATCTATATGCGTGTCTGTGTGTGTGCGTTTGCCTATGTGTTTGTGTGTCTGTTGGTGTAATCGAACATGGGTGATTTACTGTGTGTAGTGTGTGTGTGAGTATGTGTGTTATGTTTAGCGTTATGTAAGGGTACATATTAGTGTGTGTGTGTGGACTGTGTACTGATTGTTCTTAGAAATAAAAAAAATTTTATTTGCCTTATGAATGCATTTCAAAAAAGAAGAGCTTTCGGGTTAAACGGAGTTTTATTCTAAATAGCCCGAAAATTATCTCAATGTACGTATGTTATTGTTTTCAAATATTATCAACTAATTATTTTTTTTGTTATAAAACTTTTGCCTGGAAGAAAATGATTTTCCAACTGCAGTTTGAAATTGTTTACATCATCTCCATCCAACAACTCCATGACTCACAAGAGATATGATGAACTCCTTATAATTACTAATAATTTCGTTGTTCTGTTCGCAGATGGTTGTTGTTTGAGGTGAATGTGTATGTGTGCTTTGTCGTCTTTGTCATTTACAGAGAATTTTTGATGTTCTTCAAACTAGATGAGCCTATATTGATTTTCATGTTTTTATTACGGGAAATTTCAAAGTTTACTTGAAAAATGCCTGTTTTTTATATTATTTACTGTTTATTTCATATTTTTGTAGCTTTAGCAGCTTTATTTACCAATTAAATTTAAGACATGTTCACATCATACCTACTGGTGACTTTAACAAGCAAATATCTTAGCCAAACTCTTCTTAAACATTGTTACTTACTGCACGTATAAAAATAATTTTTATTAGTTAATTTATAATTTGTTTTGTTTCTTAAACAAATGCAAGCACGCACACACACACACACACAAATACATACACACAAATACATACACGCACAAACACACTCGTACACAAAACGATGAAAAGACACAATGGATTTTGTTTCGGGAATTTGAAGTTTTATCATTTGCTCCACGTTCTAAGTGATGCAATTTATGGCGGGGTTTTATTACTTTTTAATGATTTTCTTAGATTTACAATACTTTTGGTATTTTTCTCTTTAAAAAATACGTCTTCGAAAGAACTAATATCACGGACTCAAGCGACTAAGGTAGGTTTTTGCATGTGATTTTGCTGTTTCAAGCAACCTTCTCTACATCTGTGATATGCGTACATACACTGTGTAGTGTATGTTCGTGATAATTACCATCTTTCAACTTTTCATATCCATGTTTTCAAGTAGTAAAGGAATGAATAAATTATTCAACACGGCATGTGCGTCACGCTGACACTGTGGTGAATGGTCCGCTCGTTCTTACTTACAATAGGGTAACATGTATGGCTAGATTTCCCTATACTAGATTTACACGTTGCAACAGTTTGAAACATTGCATGCTAGTAACGCTTGAATTATTAATTATTTTTCACATTTTAATTTCCCACTGAATTGAATTCAGGGTTACGCTAAATTACTCTTTGGTTTCAATTTTTTTTTCAAAAATAAAAAGTAAAGTTTATATTTTATGATAAGAGATTATTATTGAATGATAAATTTGTTTAGTGTTTTCGGTTTTCATTTCATTTCATTTGTCGTTTTGAAATCCAGCGATGTTAATAACTTTGTATTTTTTTATTAAACAAGCAATTCAGCGGTGCATTGTTAGTTAATTTCTCTTCAATAAGTTTTGTTTATTTCTATTTTCCATTCGTACAATCATGCATGTTTATGTTTAAGTACCGATTGTACAATTATTCATTTAAATAAATATAATCAATTTTGAATCATAGGATAGTTTATATAAGTAAATGCATTTGAATTTCAAGACAATATTTTAAAATAATGTTACTAAAGTAATGTTAAATAAAAAATTTTTAATTTAAATAAATAAATTGGACATGTATTAATAATTAGAAAACCTCATAGTTTTATAATTTATTAATTTATTCCTCAGGGTTCAAGGTCATCAAGCGAGGTCGTCATCATGACAGTACATGACCTTGGATGCGATCGTTAGTGCTGTTTCATTCCATTCATATATTATTATTTTGCTTATGGTTATTATTATTATTATTATTATTATTATTCTTGTTATTATATTATTATTATTATAATTATTACTATAAAATAGAGCTAAAACTAAACAGTCTATCTGCCAATATCATTAAAGTCAATGTATTAAGTTTGTTTCCATCAACTTTTAAATATTTTATAATTTAACATTTTCTTATCACTTACAGTCTAGTGAAGTTTATGCTTATTATTGTATTCATACACATTATTTATCTTTTTTTCATCACATCGCGTCATAGTCTACGCCACATCACGTGCTTGCTT